TTAAATGTGCCAGAGTACAGAATTTAGTTACAAGTAATAAGCGAGCTATTAAACAAATGATCGTTGCAGATTTAATTGACTGACTTTATACTTCAAATATCATTTGAATTTTATATAATGAATACAGTATAACTATAATTTAAACAATTATAGAATTAGTTAAAACCTATTAATATGTAATACTTGTCGTGAACAGTGATCATTGTATTGTACACTATAGTATATCCTATCAATAATTAAGTAAAAATAATTTCCTAATGTATAATACTGTATAATGAATATTTATAAATTATAATTAATTATTATTACATGTCTGAAAGTATTATTTGCAACCCATTTTGATGATACTATTAAAAATATTTTATATCTTTTAATTGATTTTTAGTTTATATTTTAATCTAAAAGCATAGTCTTATACTGTAACTTAAAATGAAATTGTTTGTTAACTTAATCCAAAAGTGATGACAACAGTATTACACATCTTAACAACCAATACCCATACAGTAGTTGTATTATAACTGATTGTATAGTATGGAAATAATATTCAAAATATTAAGGGTATTCAAAATGAATATTAATCAATATAATTTAGTGTATAATATTTCAATCAAATTAATTATTAGATTATTTTAGTATTAAATGAAAACTTTAATTTGCATATCAAAGACATTATGGTTTGGATGTCAGTATTGATTTTTATATTAATTAAGCAGTACTTAGACAGTATAACTGTAATACTTATGCTTTTTATCATTTATGCATTTAAGTTATGGCTATAATAACTATATTAATGCGTATTTATTGGAAATTATATGTATATTTCATTTTAATTAAACTCAAATTAAAATTATTATTTAAAATTATATTAGTTGTTTTAAAAATATTATTAAATTCATTGCAGAATATTATTTTTATCACAATATGTTACGTAAAACACAACTTAAAGTTAAGTTTGAAATTATCTGTAAAAGTGTTGTGTCTTTCAGCGCTATTCTACGGAGGAATAGAAGTGACAAAACAGTACTTCAGTTATCCATATGTTTACAGACTTAGTGTTAAATCATCGGAAAGACTGGATTTACCACCGATTACTGTCTGTACGGAAAGGGATGTCATATTTAATAAACAGAGAATTAATAACTATTTTAATATAAGCAATGAGTATGAATCATATAAATTAATTGCATTAAATCTTACAACAAATTTAATAAATAATTGTAATCAGAATAACGGTCCATCAAATCGGTTATTCTGTCGATATCTTGAGAATATAAGAAATTATTATTTAAGCAAATTTCATGAAAAATATAACAGTGAAATAAAATCAAACTTTTCATTCAATGAATTGTATGATAACTTTACCGTAAAATCTTCAGAACTGATCCATTGTTCGGCAAAATTGCATTCAAAAGACAAAACCAAT